ATTTCAGATTTTTTTTTTTTTTACTATTCTTACTTTGAAAACGAAAATAAAAGAAAAGAATTTGATTATTTGACTAATTATAGTGAGGGGTCAACTTTGGCCAACAACGGTCACAAACTATAACATGTTTTTTTCCAATTAATTTATAATCAAATATAAAAAATTATATTTTCTCACCATTTATCTCAATTTATCAAAAATAATGAAGATATTTATTCATTATAACGAGCAAGCTCACGAGACAACTAGAGAGAGCTGTGAGAAAATTGATGCTTGGCTCGCTTCCCCGCTCAACACCCTTAGTCGCCATCCACCTCAAAATGAAAATTTAATTGAATTTTAGAAGTTTTTTTTATATAAATTAAATATGTCATAAAATGGATCTGATTTTTATTAATAAATTAATAAAAAAAAGTAAAAGGTGACGAAAAATCCTATGAAGGATCAAAGAATAAACATGTAGGGTTATGGCTGGCTGTCAGCTTTATAATTAAGTATAATTATTAATTAATAAAATAAATTTGTCCCCAGTGACACATACAGATGTCAGAATTTTGTTTATAACTTTCAAGAACATTAGACACGTGGTTTTGTGCCGGTAATTACAGTCCAAAATTGTGAATATATTTGGATAGAATGTTCATTTGAGTATGATTTTTAGCGAGTTGGATAATACATTTCAAGACATCTGTTGACTGTTATTAACAAACATACGATGGCTTGAGGTACTAGCTCAATCGACAAGGGTTGAACTTTTAATACAGAATCTCGAAACTTTAATATGTTACTTCTCAAACAAAATACACTCTCTAATGCTCCAATGAACTGTAGAATCTAAAGATTGATTTGTCCAAACCAACTTTCATACTGCATGATAAAGGTAAAACCCGACATCGATTAAATATCAGAATAATAAATCACATATAAGAATTTCAGATGAAATCTCATGTCATAATAGATAAGTCTCATCGATAGATGGATAAACAGAATATAAACGATCTTATTTCTCGTAAGATTCATGAAATATGCAATCTTGAAAGCATTAGAATATAAAAAATGAATAAAAATATCAATTATTTTATTTTTCACGTTAAACTTTCGAGACAATTTTAAAAAAAAACATAAATTGAGATGAAATTTCTCCAATATTGTCAAATGGACAATGCAAAAGCAACTTTGATACCCTCCTTTAACTTAACATAATGGCAATTTTTGGGCAAAAATAAGCAACAATATAATAATAAAACATAGTATTCTCTAAGATAAAATTTGTCTATGTAAGGGAAAAAAAATGTTAATTGTATTAATATTTTGCAATATTTCTTATATCTAATCACAATTTTTTTTTCTTTAACCACATGCTTATAAATTTAGCGTACGAAACGTTCTTGTCAAGATATATTTCAATAAATTTTGAGTCGCGTCACTTAACGATTGGATGTAATCAAAACAATTTAATTAAGAGAAAATCGAAAAAATATTTTGGGAACTAAATTGAAATTCCATTATCAGAATCGTTCGATTCTCGATTTTAAGATCAGAAATATCGATTATAATTGAAATCGAACTGAACCAATTATTTCTATATGATTTTTATACAAATCGGATGATTCTAGATAAAAATAAACCTACTCATAATTGTGAAGTATTGATCCGTCTAACCTTCTTGCGATTCGATTGAAAAATTAAAAATATATATATTAGGAGGGGTGGTTAGAGTAAATAATTGGTGCAATCACGTCACGGAGTCTTCATTTGGGGGCTGTAAAAGCAAAGAAAAAGTGAAAATGAAAAAAAAAAAAAAAAAATTTGGAAATTTCGCAGTCTCTCTGTACTATAGCCTATAAATATGCCATCCAACGGCCATCGCCTACACAGTTTCTTGTCTTCCACCTCTATCTTTCTCTGCGATTTTTTCGGTCATTTTTTGCTTGACCGCATTTGTAAAGCTAAAGAAGAAAGGAGAAAGAAATGGCTTCACAAGCGAAGAATGTGGGAATTATCGCCATCGAAATCTACTTCCCTCCTACTTGCATCCAGCAGGTCAATTTTTTTGCTTAAGCATAAATTTATGTTTCTGCTCATAAATTTGCAAAAAAATTTCTCTTTTCTTTTATTATTCTTTATGGGTTATGGAAATGTTTCCGAAGAGTGAATGATTAAGAAAAATATATAGAAGAAGAAAGGATTTTTTTTTCTGGGGTTTTAGCTATTTTTGTTTTCGACTTATGTACCCACCTTATGATTTCGATGTGTTATATTTTGATTGATGAAAAGTTTTTGATCCACTGTTTGAGCTCATATATCTTTAGGTTTCATAATCTTAAAATTTGAACTTCGTTTGCAGATTTTTTTACCTTTTTTGCTATGTTTGGTTAATGTTAGAAGGGGAAAAAAATACTTTCTACTATTTTTTTTTTTTCAAACAAAAATTGTTGTACTGCCACAGGAAGTGTTGGAGGCTCATGATGGAGCAAGCAAAGGGAAATACACGATTGGACTTGGCCAAGATTGCATGGGGTTTTGTACTGAGGTTGAAGATGTCATTTCAATGAGGTATAAAGTCGATTTTTGATGAAAATTTTACATGCTGCGTGAATTGTTAGATTGGTTTAAATTTAATGTTATATTTGATACTCTGAACTTGCGCTCGAATCCTATGTTTTATGGAAGGAGAAGGATAAGACGAAGGAAATACGAGGGCCATATAATCATAAGCATCATTGTGGATGGCACGTCAAACTTATTGATAGTTATATAGCATGCTTGAACTTTCTGGAGAGATTATAACAGTCTTTTGGCTGCATAAAATCCGATTCATTTGTTGCTTTAATACTTGATTTCCTGTTATTAAGTCTATAAAGTTGACTGTGTGATTGTATAACAATGTGTTCTGTTTCAAAAATAATATGAAGCGCATGTTCTTTTCAAGTTAAGCAAGGAAAGGTTCAAAATTGTCCATTTATATTTTGCTGAATCTTGGCATCTGCCTTTTTTTTCACACCTCACGGGACAAGTATGGACTGCTTCTCATTTTCTTTATACGTTGTTACCCTGCTGAAATATCCTCCTGAAGAATAATTAAACAGAGAGGCATCTAGAAATTTGCAGCCATGCTTTGTGATATTCTTGAACAAAGTATTTTATCTTCTATTCATTGTTTAAGACTTCTTTACTGAAATGAAACTTGATAAAAATTTGGTTGTAGATTGTTTTTTATGCTTGTATTAATGATATCGGCAATAGCAAGTTACTTGCATTTATTGACTCTTTTATCTTCAGTTTGGCAGCTGTTCTAAAAATATAGGCAATAACAAGATACTTTCATTTATTAACTGTTTAACCTTCAGTTTGACAGCTGTTAGCTCACTTCTTGAGAAATACGGGATCGATCCAAAACAGATTGGTCGTCTGGAAGTTGGAAGTGAGACTGTACTAGACAAGAGCAAGTCTATTAAGACATTCCTGATGCCAATCTTTGAGGTATTTAAGCACGCAATCTATGATTTATAATTATTGGCACTTAGCATCTGTGTTGGAACGATTCACTGGAATACAATCTCTACTGTTGAACTGATAGTCTATCTGAGTAAACCTAAATGATGCTTAAAAATTATCAGTAGTTAACTATTCGACTTCTCTTTTGGAAGCAAAAAATCACAGTGGCCATATTTTAGCAAAAGGGTTAACTTATGGTAACTTCCACAAGTAAAGATTGCTCACATCATTTCAATTACTGTTTCAAGTATAAATTTAGCCCTTGTTTGGCCTCCATTTTAATTAGATTTTGGGAAAAATGTATTTTGGAACAGTAATTTTTTTTTGGAGGATGTGGTTAAAAAACAGGAAAATTTTTGGGTTTGCGTGTAATATTATTTTATTAGAGTAAAAATGTATATCTATCATTTATTAGTTCTTTTGTTCTCCTTGTGAATGACCAGAAAAGTGGAAATACTGACATAGAAGGCGTTGACTCAACCAATGCATGCTATGGGGGAACTGCAGCTCTCTTCAACTGTGTCAATTGGGTGGAAAGTAGTTCATGGGATGGGCGATATGGGCTCGTTGTCTGCACAGACAGTGCGGTATGACCATCATCTTTACGCATTTTCGTATTCTTGATTTGCATTTACTTAGAGAAATGCGAGCAGACAAGCTTTCCCACTTCCAAATGGCTGCAAAACTATATCTTATACTCAATTAAGGGTCATTCATAATGTAACTTTCCCCCTGCTGGAATGTATTTATTTCATTGCACATCCATTAGCTAAGTGTTGATTTAATTTCAGTAGAATAATTTGATTGTGCTTATGGGTGATTGCCTCACCAGTAAACATTTTTTTTATAACAGGTCTATGCAGAGGGACCAGCCAGGCCCACTGGAGGAGCTGCAGCTATTGCCATGCTAATAGGACCTAATGCTCCTATTGTGTTCGAAAGCAAGTTCAGGGGTAGTCATATGGCTCATGCCTATGATTTTTACAAGCCTAATCTTGCCAGCGAATATCCAGTAATTCTCATCTTTAACGCGTCTACTAATTTCAATATTTTACTTTTCACTAATGTGTAAAAACCTTGCGGTTTTTTGTACATATGCTGAATGTCGCTGCTAATAAAAACAAACAAAAACTTGTGATTGATGTTTTGGAAATTACGCACTGCTACTTCAAATTTGCTCCATTGTACTCTGTTCAGTTCTGATATGGTTAAAATTATGTTTATAGGTTGTCGATGGAAAGCTTTCTCAGACTTGCTATCTCATGGCACTTGATTCTTGTTATAAAACCTTCTGTAACAAGTAAGCTTCTGCTGAGATAAAGTGTTATTCTCTTAAAATTTAAACCTTCTTGTAATTCTATGTTCCAGATGCTTAAACATTTTGCTTCTATAGGTATGAGAAGTTGGAGGGCAAACCATTTTCAGTTGCTGATGCCGAATATTTTGTCTTTCATTCTCCATATAACAAGGTAATTAGTTAGTGACGGTAGAAATTTAATAAAAGTGCCATTTGCAAATAATTTTTCTCATTATAAGATTGATCGATTACGAAGAAGTTTGTGTTTAACATATTACCTGATAACTGCAGCTTGTGCAGAAAAGCTTTGCTCGATTGGTGTTCAATGATTTTGTAAAAAATTGCAGGTAGATATTTTCTTCATTATTCGAGAAGCACTAATATTTTTTATAAGGTCCACTATGTATTCATTTCTGTGTATTTGCAGCTACATGGATGAGGCCTCTAAAGAAAAGCTAGCACCATTTTTGTCTTTAACTAGCAATGAAAGTTACCAGAGTCGTGATCTTGAAAAGGTTTATATCACTCTACCGTGCACTTTTCTTCCTTACTCGAATTCTTTGGTAGTTTGTTGGTTATTATGTGGAAAAGTGAACACTACCTAATTTTCTCGAGAATTTATATCTGCGAGTGCAACATGCTAATATACGAACATCTCTGAGCTGATTTATCGGATCTACAGGCATCTCAGCAAGTTGCAAAGCCCTTTTATGATGCAAAGGTGCAGCCATCCACTTTAATTCCTAAGCAAGTCGGCAACATGTACACCGCATCAATCTATGCTGCATTTGCATCCCTGCTTCACAATAAAAATAGCACACTGGTAAAGTTATTAACCCCGTGTTTTCTCATCGACCAGTGACTGTTTGCACTTAGTAAACGTACCTAATTGTATTGTTTTCCCCTTTCTCCTTTCTTTAGGCTGGACAGAGGGCAATCTTGTTCTCCTACGGTAGTGGTTTGAGTGCCACTATGTTTTCAGTCCGTCTTAATGAGGGTCAACATCCTTTTAGCCTATCCAACATTGCAACCATCATGAATGTTTCAGAGAAGTTGAAATCGAGACATGAGGTATGCTTATTTTGGTTCAAATTTGTGCTTGTTTCGTAGTAGTTCAAAGTGCACCGAGTCCTATGGAATATGTGAATAATAAATGGATAGTAAGTTGTTGATCCTACAAAATGTGTGGATAAAAAGTATGTTTGACCGGCTTATATTATAATTTAAGCTTTGCTAAACATGCTCTGTGAATTGATCAAAATTGTTATTGAGAATACACACGACCAAGTAAAAGTGATGCCAATTTGAATGAATTTAGGACGACTTAGTGGTTGGAGCATGTTTTATGTAGTCATAAAGCGGTTCTAATGTATAAGAAGAGACAGGACCAAAACTAACATTGCATGTTGTAATTGCAAAAATCTAGTTAGTGGATCTAGTAATGAACTAAACGGAGGATTCTTATAGTAGACTCCAAAATTGTTGTTTCTTAGCATAACTTATGATAAACATTCTTCTGTGCAGTTTCCTCCAGAAAAATTCGTCGAGATCATGCAGGTAATGGAGCATAGGTATGGAGCCAAAGACTACGTGACGAACAAGGACACTAGTCTTTTAGCGCCAGGCACATACTTCCTTACTCATGTGGATTCCATGTACCGAAGATTCTATTCCAAGAAGTCTTCCGAGAATGGCTCACTCGCCAATGGTCACTGAAGATAGATTGTGACGGAACACAGTGTGATGCCATGATATTGGCTCATGTTTTTAGCCTGTAGTAGAATAAGTTCATGTGTATTGATAGATACGAACATCTAGTTTCTTTTTATGTTTTAACGTTCTTTTCTTTCTGTTCTAACATTCATTTGTTCTCAGTGAAATGAAGATTTTATGCGTTTAATCTTCAAATAGAGTTAATAAATTGAGTTATGTGACTTTTTGATTGGGGGAAACTTGTGAATGCACATCCCCGTCCCATCAATGACAACTGTTGGGGCCATGTTGCTCGTGCAATTATGATGCAAGGCAAGCATCAAGAATCAAACAATACCTTGAACCTAAATCTGTTTATTCCGAAGAATACTGGAAGAACATCAGAAATTGGAAAAATTTCCAAGTTACAACTGAATTCTTTGAAGGCAGAGTTGAAATAGAAACTAAGCTAATAAAATTGAACTAATCTCCATGTTTGGCATGCAAAGATGGAACATCGTGATAATCAACGGTCATATGATTATTTCATGTTTCCATCCCAACATTCTTGAATGACTTCACTAAAGCTCATAATCAGCAATTGCAGTAGCTATTCTACGTAACAACTTGTTATTTGAGGTATTAATTTCACGTAAATCGATTGCCTCAAAAAAGCCTCAAATAAAAAGCTGTCACATAGGATGAATATTGTAGTAACTGACTATGAATAGTATTATTCTAAATTCAAAGAAACTAGATCGATTTGTGGCTTTCATAGAAAAACTTTTATTCTAACGAGACAAATCACTGCCTTCCAACCTAGCTAATCACATAAATATCAATGAATTTGAGACGACGACGTAGTTGCAAACTGAAATCATCTCTTAATATTAATCCTACATTGAGTACACATATCCTAGTCTGGTTGGAGTCCAAATTTCAGGTATTTTTTTTATTATTATTCTTACTTTGAAAAAGAAAAGAATTGAATTGATTATTTGACTAATTATAGTGAGGGGTCAACTTTGGCCAGCAACGGTCCCAAACTATAACATATTTTTTCCAATTAATTTATAATCAAATATAAAAATTTCTATTCTCTCATCATTTATCTCAATTTATCAAAAATAATGAAGAAAACGGCTATGATTTTATGATTAGTTGCTATTATGGGTGTTAAACGGGGGTAGTGGAACCAATGGGCTTCCCTATCATAGAGCTTGACTCGCCCAATCAAATTTTGGCTCGATGGGGGCAAGTCGAGCCAATGAGCAATTTGTTCAATTTGTATTTATCTTTTCTGAAATTATCTTTATTCATTATAACGAGCAAGCTCACGAGGCGACTAGAGAGAGAGCAATGAGAAAATCGTTGCTTGGCTCGCTACCCCGCTCAACATCCTTAGTTTCAATCCACCTCAAAATGAAAATTTAATTGAATTTTAGTAGTTATTTATATAAATTAAATATGCCATAAAATGGATCTGATTTTGATTAATAAATTAATAACAAAAAAAATTAAAAGGTGACGGAAATCCTATGAAGGATCAAAGAATAAACAGGTAGGGTTATGGTTGGCTGTCAGCTCTATAATTAAGTATAATTATTAAAATAATTAATTTGTCCCCAGTGACATATACAGATCTCAGAATTTTGTTTATAACTTTCAAGACCATTAAACACGTGGTTTTGTGCTGGTAATCACAGTCCAAAATTGTGAATATATCACTATCACTACTACATTAAAAGAGGGGATGGGGTGTTTTACTGTTCATTTGTGTAAATTCTTCCATCAATTACTATTTCAGATCAAATTCTTCTCCAAAATTGGTGTAAAACACAAGTTTCATTTTTGTGCGATCTGGTTTTTCTACGGTGATAGCCACAATTGTTGACTGACTTTCTTCTCAATTTTAATTGAACCGACTTTCAATAATAACAATTGCACAAATATCTGGTTTCTCCTCCTCCTTCACTTTCCCTATCTCAACTCTTCTATTTCTACTGATTTTCAGAAATAACATATTATTCATCAATTTATTTCATCTCCATTACAAACAAAAGCAAAGGTCTGCCCAATAATCAAACAGAGTACATACCTTCTTCTTCAACTTCTTTTAGAGAGAGAGAGAGAGAGAGAGAGAGAGAGAGAGAGAGAGAGAGAGAGAAATCCTTGAAAAGGTTTGCACTGCAGTATTTTTTTAAGTTTTTTGAAATTTACAAAGACTTTGAGCTTGTTTGGGAGGGATTAAAATCGAATTAAAATTGAAAAACTAGCCGTTATTGTTGACTTTTATTAGACGGGTGAGACCCAATAACGGTTATATTTTCAATTTTAATCCGATTTTAATCCATCCCAAACAAGC